GAGAATAAATCCAAACACTACGAGAGGTCTATTACACACATGATACAAGTACGAGTCCACAGCGGGGGCGTGAGCTCGAAACGAACTTTGATAGACAATGACATGGCTTTTATTTGTAGCGAGAGATAATAATGACGGTCAAGTGAGAGCAGAAAAGCCTAGTCCGTTGTAAACGGTAAGCTTTCGGTCTTGTTAGCGGAAACGGGAGAAACGACCCGAAGCACGCTCGACTTCTTACCAAAGAGCTTTTGCAAAGAGTGTGTACACGTGATTAAACTGATCAAACTACGAAGGCATAATCGGCAGTCCAGTGCACGACATCTAGATGTCACAAAAAGGGAAATCGAATGAAAAAAAAAAAGGATTATTGAATTAACCGAGAAGAAACGGGCGATACGCCATTTTATGGACAAACGAAGAAGCGTTGCTTATTACATTATGTCTGCCAAACTCTTCTAGAGTTCCTTCAAAACGAAATGTTGCTGCACGAGATTTCATAAACATCCAAAATATGAAGTTTCTTCACTCAAAAATCATGCTTGACGAAGCAACATTCCTCCCACGCCGCCGCCCAGGAAGCTACATACACACACACACACAAAGCATCACTATGTTATACATTTTGATTTCGTTTTAAATCTGCATCTAACTGAATCTTGTAATAGCAAACCTCATATTAAAGGAGAAAAAAAAAATTGGTTTCTTGAAACACGAAGAGGTTAACCTAGCTCGGATGCAAATCATCAGGTGAGCCTGGCGCCACTAAATGAGCTGCGCTTAGAGTATCGGCACTCTGATCGCCGACACTGTTGTGGGCGCCGCCATTTTGGCGCTTGTGCAAAGCAAACCCAACTGCCGAGCGTCATGATTAAAAACGTGCAACTTCCTCAGCCTAAGATTCGGTGTTAGGAAGGTCATGTATTATTGATTTGTTCTGTCGCGAACTGTTTAAACATTGGTGGAGGGAGGAAAAACGCTTCCTGCGATTTCAGATAAAAGTTCACATAACTGCCAATCATAATTTTAAGCCAAAATATGGCGAAGTGTTGCTACTTTGAAGCGTAGCTTATTTAGGGGCACTTGTGATGCTGTAGGTAGGTCTCGCGTGCAATGGACAAACCAAGCAAAGCCCCCCTGCTCGCAAACCGCGGTCAAATCTTTCGTCACCCCCTCACCCCTTTTTTTTAAGGTTCGCTTTATTTTTCTATTTCTATGTTTCCCCTAGGTTTTTTGTGACGGGTTGGCAATATATAATAGTAATAATAATAATAATATTAAGTTATTCATCGGAGCACAGTGACTTATATTAGTAGGGGCACATCAGACCCAAAAAAGGGCTCGTGTGATGACGCCCAAAGAAACCAAGATTCCCAGAAAAATGCTAAAAAGAAAAAAAAGAACGGAGAGAAAATGGACGCAGCAAATTATGCATGCATCTCATCAGTACAATAAAAAAAGCGAACGTAAATAAGAAAATTCTGCGAAAAAACAAAAAAAGAAAGACGGAATGATTAAAGAAAAGAAAAGGGAAAAAAGAAGACAGAAAAGGAAAAGAACAAGTAAAAGTAAGAAAATAAAAGATAAAACATGTCAGGAGAAAGATTAACAAGCAGATAAAGATAAACATAAAATGATTATGGGGAGAAGCCGACAGATGGTCGCTCAAAAGCTATTGGAAGCATTCTTTATCAAAAATGTGGTAATGAACTTCAGTTTCTGAATGTTCATGTACAAAATTAATCAGCTTTTATGCGGTGCCGCTTTGCCTGTCATTTTTATAGATATGCTTGCTTTTCCTGAGTAAAACTAGCTGAAAGTTAGCGCCTGTCCCGTATATTTCTTGTACTTGTCTTTTTTGCGTTATTTTATATGTTTAACTAAGATGAACCGACTAGCCTTACAAAGTACCCTACTTAACAATACCACATTGAAAAAAAATCCAGAAAAAGTATACCTCAAACCGACATTTAAAAAAAAATCGAAATAGAAAAAAATGGGCAAGCAAGCACATTCAAACAATAAAAGTGCAGAAATGTCATGAGGCATAATGGAGAAGCAAAACGTCAAAGCGAAATATGCAGTACACAAAAGAGAAGCGCACAGTAGCATTAAAACAACGAAAGAAAAATCGATTTAAAAAAAATTTCTGCAATAACGTAAAAAAGATTTAAAAAATATGGGACAAGAAACGTTAGGTAAACTAAGAAAGAAAAATCACTTCAAATTCACCATGCACATACTGGGATAAGAAACTCACTAAAATCAATGTCGATAGAGCTGAGTTTTTTTTTGTGTGTGTGTGTGTGTGTTTTCATAGAGGTAATGTCCAGCATTGAATCATCCGGGAGAGCGTTGGCTATGCTTGGAAGAGAATAGTCGCGCGTGCATTCGCCGTAGTGAGTCGAACGACGTGGCACAACAAAACGATCGGTGCGTCGTAATGCGCGAAAGGTAAGCAGTGGTGTTTCGAAATCATTGTTCCGATACCTGCGGGTTAGAACGGTCTTAAACGGGTCATAAAACGGTATCGTTGGACTGTTGATGACTTTACAGAGGCGTACTGGTCCTAGTCTCTCCTAAGTATACTCGTACGGACCTCCACTGATTTAGAAGCTTTTTGGTCGTGGTGAAATTGCGGGGATAAACTTCAACTTTAACTTCAACTTCAGCTTCATTGTTTCGCTCCAGGAGAGAGGGGAAGGAAGAAAAAAAAATACTGATGTCGCTCGACGGAGTTTCTCCTCCCCACCCGCAACAAGAGAAAATATTTTACATACTAGAGTTCCATACAACAACGGCTACACACAAGCAAAACACACAACATAAACCAAAAAAGATATGAAATATTTTACGAAAATTTCTTACAGGTCGAAGGTCCCATAAACAAAAAGACACCCCCAACTAGAACTAGAGGAACAAAAAACGAATATCCTTTCTGCTCAAACTTGTCAAATCCGAGCCACATCTATCTGTACTATTAATACCATTGGACAACGAGAACTGCAGCATCTGGAGGCCGTAGCCTGTTCTTGAGCGAGGCGTTGACCATGTGTCAACACAACGGCTTGGATATGCAGGCACTCTCCGCTTTATATTAGCGATTGTTACAAAAACAAGTTCATTTTGCCATATAGACGTTTGATACGTTAGAAGAAGTTTATGATTGTATTGCTCTGTAATTGTAACTATCTGAAAGTTTTTGAAAAGTTGTAAAGCGTGAGCGTTGAACTCCGCATTGCACAAAATTCGGATGTATCTCTTCTGGAGAACATGCAAGTGATGCATATTTGGTGCTGCGGTGCTACCCCAAACAAGGAAGCGGTTATAATAGCAAAAATAAAAAGAGAATTATAAAGAATGATTAAGACCGAAAGGGGTAATATTTGTCGGCAATATTAATAATTCTAACAACTTTTGAACCTCTGCCAGCTATACATTGTAGTTCGGCGTCCCAGCTTATGCACTCATTAAATATCAGACCGAGAACCTTCCCATTTTGTACAAAGTCCATATTTCTTCGTTAGAGAGAGAGCCCGAGTAGATGAAAAAACTGTATTTTTGGATCGAAAAAGTATTGCTTTCGTCTTCTCTGTATTAATTTCTAAACATTTTGGGATTGTCGAGTCACTTATTTTCTGCAGAACTTTATTTGTCGTACATAAAACCTGGTGGACAACTTCACCCGAAAAGAATAAACTGGAGTCGTCTGCTTATTTACAGAATTTGCACTGTCGTCTATCTTTACTATATAATTAATGTACAAGTTAAACAGAGAGGCCAGGGATGCTCTTCTGTGGCACCCGTGACGTCAGTTTCGTTAAGCTAGATCGCTGAGTATCTATCACAACACACTAATGCCGATATAAAAAAGAACAAAAAACTTTTGATTATTGTTGATGCTACTCCTCGTTCCCCGTATGCATTTGCAGTCTTGCCTCCGGAGAGCTTCTCAACGGAATTGTGGGATCGAAACCACCCGCCTGACGACCGGCGAGCGCTGATCATGGATTGAACACGAGAACTGCGTGAGCACTCAACTTCGGCTCGTAACAATCAATGCCTCGGCGGACACTCGGGTAGTGGCTCGTGTCCAACCACTGCGGTGATAAGAATAGCCGAACTCTAACAATGCCTGAAGCTCAGCATGCGTTTTCTACTTTGCCAACCGCAGCGCGTGGCTATGACTAAAATTGGCGGCATAGGATAGGCACCAGGCCACGTGGCCGCTTGTTCTGGCTCCAAATTGAGGGGATGAACGATGCTCATATTTTTCGAAATAATCTGCCGACTGCCATTGCTTAGAAAGAAAAACTAAGTCAAGTTAATTCGGTTATTAACGTTAAACAGTGATTCTGAGTAGTAATTAGCGAAAGTAGAGAAATCGTTTCATGGTCCCTTTAATAAAGGATTATTATTAGTAGTATTATTATAAGATAAAGAGGACAAAGGTTTTGCAGTTGTAGAGTTTTAAAAAATATCGTCACTGGTTGATAAAGGTGAATCGTATACGACGCTGGAAAAGTATTCCATAAAGTAGAGCAGTACCATTGGCATGCTAATAACTAGAACAACTTCCTAAAACGGTTAGGCCGTAGCAAAGGACATTGTAAGCTAGCGCATGGGTTTTGTTTGGACATGGATCATTTGCACGTCCAAAGCCGTACACCAACTCCCATAAACGCTCTAGTATTATAAAGCATACAGAATACTGTTCGCAGTTTGCTACATATATGTATGATATATGGGTGTTTCATTACATACCAAAATGAAAATAAACGGCCGTATATTTAACGTGATTAGGCGTAGCCAGGATTACAACTCGTGACGTGACGGAGAAACAAACTTTCGTCTTGGCGTCACGAAGGTAAACCACAAAAGGGCGCCACCAAAACATCTCGTCATTAATAGCGTGAAGAAAAGAATCCAAACCAGGTGTGCATCGACCCCAGCCTCCGCGAAGGGACGCTTACTGGAGCTGGGCCAAGCGCCGCTGCACTCACCTGTGTCCCTCGGTCCAGGAGGAAGATGTCCCACGAGTCCGCGTTGACGGCCGATGCCACGGTTCCCGCCAGTTCAGAGAGCACGTGCGTCTTGCTCGGTTTCAGGTAGAGGCTCGTGGTCAGCTCCTGTAGCATCTTGCGCTTGTCAGCGTGCACGCAGAACTGAAAAACCAGGCCGATAAGATGCAGTGAGCGAAGACGGCAGTAAGTCAGGTCCTCACGCGTACTTTCCCAGGCCTGTGCGGGTCACTGACAGCCTGAGAACAGCAGGGAGGGTCTCTCGGGCAGCCGAACGCGCTCGCTGCCTTTTGGCGTGCTTGGACTGCTGGTGTCCGCTCCAAGCCACGCTCAAGTTGGACAACTCAAGTATTTTCCTGCCGTTCCCATCCTGCCAGTGAGCATCGAAAAGAAGGCGTCCGCACTGTCTCATTATTGGTGGATTCCCGGTCATCCCATGCGGCCAACACGCTCGAGTTCTACGCCAGTACACCACACATAGACTAAGGGAGCGGAAGAATTACATTCCTGCTTTTGCGTTCACAACTCATAATAATTGCTTAGGTGTCCTCGGAATTTCTTTCAAGGCTGGCTTCAAGATATTTCAAAACAAAGCCAGCGTTTTAACAAATATTCAAAACATGGTCTACACTCTCTGGTTATTTACACAGCAAGTAGTCGACCGATCACGGAACAAAAATTACTTTCTGTTCTATCGAATCCTTCACGGGCAATGTATCAGTGCGTAACCTAAAAAAGAAAGTTTTTCACTGCAGGTGAAATATACCTCTTTTTAACGGGAACTTAGCGCAATTTTACCTGGACCAGCAGTGAAAAGTGCTCCATATGACTGGGAACGGTGTGCCCAAACGTTCTCTTGTAAGTTCCTTTCTGGTAACATCGGAGCGGTATTCTCGTGAAAGCCCAGTATATTAAAAAAAATTAAACGATTCGACTACTTCTTTTAGAAAACCTACGGTTGTCGTAAGTTTCAATTTAACTGATGAGACCAGAAATGATGATAACTGATTTACTGATTTAGTTTGTATCATTGTATGCACAAATTGTTGTTCCTGATACCGTAGAAATAAAAAAAGACACCGCACAAATTTTTCTAAAACAGAGGTGTGGCAAGCCGATGCCCACCAAGTGAAATTCTTCACAAAAGGTTATCCAGTCTTTTAGGCTCTGATCCGGACTTCCAAAAAAACAAAACACACACTCCGTGAATTTTCTGAACATTTATGCGAGCACAATGTAGGACTTGCAACACATACATAATCTTCGCAATCAGAAAATTGTAGCTAGGTGATGCTCGTGCAAAAATTGACCCATCATGCATAGGCCATCGGGACACACGTTTCAAAGTGCAGCGGCGCCCGTCTCCAGGTTAAGCGCCATCGCCGTCGCCGTCGCCGTCGGCGTAAGCGCGCGTTGCATTATGGGATGTTTCCCATAATGACGTCACACGTGACGTCACGTGTGACGTCACGAAGGTTACCCTCGCGAGGATTACAAAGGTTACCCTCACAAGGGTCACGAGGCTTATCCTCACGAGTGTAATTCTCGTGAGGGTAACCCTCCTGACTTTCGTGACGGCAGCCCTTGTGACCCTCGTGCGGGTAATCCTAGTGACCCTCGTGAGGGTAACCCTCCTAACCTTCACGAGCTAAATTTTCCGCTAAATTTAGCGGGAAAAATTGCCCGCTAAATTTAGCGGGAAAATGTGCCGCCAAATTTAGCGGGGAAATTTTACCCTCTTGACGTCAGACGTGACGCAATTCAACCCGGAAAAATTCCCTACCAAATTAAGGGGAAAAATTTTCCGGCCAATTTAGCGGGAAAATATTACCCTGGTGAGTCACACGTGACGTCACGTGTGAAGTCACGAGAATGAATGTGACGTCACATGAAATTTAGCGGAAAACATTAACGCTAAATTTAACAAAAAAAGTTCCCGGCTATATTCAGCGGGGAAAATGACGTCACGTGACCTAAACACCTTTTCAGTTTCCTCATTAAATTTAGGAGGGAAATGTTCGCAAATTTTCTGCTACATTTAGCGGGAAAATTTTGGTAAATTTTCCGCTAAATGTAGCGGGAATATTTCCCTGCTAAATGGGAGAGGAGCAGGAGAAGAGGGGGAGGGTAGAGATGAGGAGGAGGGGCACAGAGTCCTCTGGTATCTTCCCCTCCTCCTCCTCAAGAGCTCCGCTCTAATTCGGCATTACAAAAAATTGTAAACGTCTTCTTTTTTTTTAAATCGCTTGTAACATTAGACCAGTAAAACGTGCTGTTGAGAAATTGGCGGAGTGGTACACCGGGGTATCTACAAAGTTCCTTCATAAGCCTTCATACTCTAAGGGCTTCGTTTCTCCAGTTTCTTTACAAAGGTCCTTGGTAAAACCAACCGCCTCACGTACACTTCTTTTTTGTACGAACAAAACATAACAATGTCATCACCGTACGCTAGGACTTCCATTTCTACAGAGTTTAATCTATAACCTCAGACGATTTCACTTTTAGCGATGCTTAAACTAAAATATTCCAGATAGAGGGCAAATAGTAATGGTGAGAGTGGGCATCCTTGTCGGACAGAAGACAACACTGAAGCGGTGCTGCGAGTAGGGTGTGTGCGCGTGTGCAACAAAACGTGCGCTGCTTTTCTTTATTTATTTTTTTGTTTTTTATTTGATGGGCACCCGATTTTGCTGCATCTCCTTCCAGTACAGTAAGCAGAAACCATCGCGGCACCGCTTTTCCCGCGTTTGGTAGTTTCCTTTTCTGCTTGGGTAGCACTGCGTCGGGCCTTTTCGGCACTGTCGAACTGGCCGGAGGTGCGGCCAAAAACTAACACCACCATTGGAGCCCAGACAGGTGGTTAGTTAGTTGTGCGGACCTATTAGTGCATTCCTTTGTCGCGCAGAAGTTTTTGGGTTCAAAACTCCCGCTTGATTTCCCAACGTCTCCAAGGGAGTAGAGTTTTGTCGCCTCCCGAGAGAGGGCGCCGTTTCCACTACACTTCTAGAGTGCCTTCATACACACGCGCGCTGACATCTAGGCACCCTATACACTTCGCCAGCACCCAACGAGGTAGAGGGGCTTAGAGTGATAAACCGGAAGTTCGGAAGTGGCACCCCCCCGGTTGCCGCCATATTTTACGCAAATGTGACCACTCGTCACATGACCTCCCAAGAGCCGTGACGTCACAGGTAAGATGGCAGCGCCCAGAGCTGGCGGATGCGAGTTTGTTCGGTGCGCGGTAGCCGTGATCTGCAGCTGCTTTCCGACGACTTCGGGCTTCTTCGTGCTCGCTGACGCAGGTATAATGTGAAAATATGAAGGAATGATACTTTATACCGTTTTTGCGCAAGATCGCTCTGGATCATCTGGATATTAACGCCTGTGAGACAGCATCAGCTCTGCATCGTCGTACCGGTGCTCGGATTCCGGGATGTGTCCGAGGATCGATAGAACTTTGAGTGCTTTTAACATGAAATTTTCGCATTCTCTTAGCTTTGTTTGAACGTTGAAATATCTGAGAATCTACGCGAAATGTATACGTCACGTTAGGGCCTAAGGGAAGTTGTTTCAGCCCTCCGTCACCGAACAACCATAGGAACTTTTAGCGAGGAAGCTCCTGCAATTTTAACCTTTTGTGCTAATCCACGATTCTACATTGATCGCTTTTCTTCCTTTTCTTTGTGTGTGTGAGTGCGAAGTGCACCCTTATTTTCAGCTACGAGGATGGCGTTTTATTGAGTATGAGGAAGAATAAATCGTTGCAGGCACCTGCTTCAAAGCTATTCGACTTGCTATAAGAACAACTGTTTTGGTGCATGCATAGATTAACTGCGCATTTTTTCTGTTTTGTAGGATTTATTGCAGCTATACTCTTTTCCATCAAGAGTGCATTGTATTAGTCGGTCAATTATTTAATTGTTCTAATTACCTGGATAAGATGATTCATATTTTTGTTCATCCCTTGCCTGGAGAGCAGTCTTGTTGAAAAATGTTGACTACCATTCCTTTCGGTCTCTTCAATAGACTCTTCTTAAAAGTGTGGGCTGTCTATACTTCGCATCACCGTAACTTGGAAAAGGCCAACCGCCACAGCCCCCTCGAGCCAATCAGAGAGACCGAGCGAAGGTGTGTGACAAATCTGTGCAGACGAGCACTCTGGTGATATGTTGTCATGTGCCTCTGTCCAATGTGTGTATTGACTCACCGAGACTGTAGCCTTTGCCGTCTGCCAAATTCTGATGAAACAAATGACAGTAGCTACTACTGTAATTACCCCAGGCTTTCATACTTTGGGTATTTGTTCGACAAGGATGTTATGTCCGCCATCTTTGTGAATTCGGCTCAGCACCTATTGGACTCGAATGCTGCATTAGCGTTCAACCTGAACTGGGGCCCATTCGTGTGCTTTACGCCGAAAAAAATTATGACAGTTGTGTTGCTTGATAAGGTTCTGCAAAGGGTCTATTGTGTCATACATATAGGAAGTGTCATGCTATATAACAATACATCAACACATACTATTAAACTATATGCTCAGAGTTGTGTTTGTTTTTCCAATTAACAAGTTACAGCAGTGTGCTTTAATGCTATTATCATGTGTGTAGTTTTAAGTATCCTCTCTGCAATGCCTACGAAGGCCCCTGGAAGGAATAAATTAATAAATAACATTTTCACATCACTGGAGTTGGTTTTCGGATGCACCACATGTTCAGGGAAGGTTGAACGAGTGCAGCCCCTTGCAAGAAGTCTGCCAGTCTGGTATGACCCCTTAATTAATATTGAAGGGTCAGAGATGCGAGTATCCTCGTAAGGTCCAGAGCGTGAACACCGACGCTCCTGGCACGTCGGTGTTCAGTTTGGTCGAGTGGCAACTTTGACCGACTGATGCTGTCTTGTAATCATACGTCATGTGCGGCCACTGACGTCTGATGCAGTGAAGCTGCAGGGCTGGCTTCTAATCCGAAAATTTTCCTGGTAGTTTTCGGCATCAATGTAGCAAGCTCGGGCATGTATTGCTTACGTGGCTGTGCCTTTTGCTGTACCGTTGACTTGATAGCTGGCAACAATTTTTGTTTGCTATCCAAGTCTGGTGATGCTTGCAGTTCACTCTTGAGAGCAACCAACCATTCTATTCCTTCAAG